AAATTCGATATATAATATAATAATAAGCCTTATTTTAAAACTATAGAGCAAGATTTTTAGTAACAAAGGCCAAATCACAAACGTAATTATTTCTGGTTAAAAACGTTGAATAAGAACAAAAGACAAATTTCCGCTAATGAAATGCTTAAAAATGTCTAATTGACTAAAAATTTTAAACTATAGCTTGTTTTATTTACGCTTTAAGAGTCGTCTGTCACAAAAATTGCAGTAAAAAAATAGATTCTACGTGAGGTGAACCGATTTTTTGAGTACTAATCTTTCGTTAATAAATTTTCGTGATTTTGCCGATCAATTTTTATGCATAAAATCTAACTATAATATCATTGTTAATGCACCTCACATGGTTTTGATTAATTAGTATATGGAAAACCCCAATGTCCCTTGCCTTCACGTATAACCCGTGACATGACATGACGATTAGACGAGGGAAGTAAGGTAACACTGACTAACTTGTCGGGTTAATACAGTAATAACTTCGTCAGGGAAATTCTCAAAAACTCAGCCCCGAGTTTATTACTAATTAAAGGACTACAATATGTCACTTTGCATTGCATGATAAGAACAAGGTTTAACCTATTAAATTTTAACATTGTTAAAATAAGCAAAAAATTCAAAAGAATTTAAGAATTTTAAAAAAAGATTTTCATGATGCGTCTTATTATGTGGGAAAAATATAATTGGTTAAGTTGTAGTGTTAGATCTGTATAAATTAAAAAGTATTTAGAGTATTGTATATACATTACAGTATAATTACAGTAAAACGATAATAAGATTAAAATTTAAAACACTTACGTAAACACTGTATTTGGGTTTTAAGGAAGTCAGAGTTTTACCCGAATACGTATCTTTCCTGAACGGTTATCTAGTGATTATCCCAACAAATCGTTTTAAATTTGTGACAGAAAAAAAATCACTTGAAATTTTCTACGTTAATTCAAATCATATTTTACTGTGATAGCGAGAATCCATCGTCTTTGATTCGTTTACGAGAATTTACTAACACAGATCGAATAAGGCATAATTTAGTTTCATTGACTAGTATCTCTCTTGAAGAACAAAATAGTTATTAACAAGGAATTAATTCTATCCAATGACTTAATAAAAGTTCTTCCAAATCGTGAATATTTACTGGTGTTATTATCTCGAGTGATTGCATTCATTCATTTATTCCTTCGACCATATTAGGTTGGATAACAATGATCACCAGTTTCTTCCAACATGTTCGCTCTTAATGCGAACAAATTGATAAATATACATACATTATATTTCAAGTAAAAGACGAATTATCAAGATACTAATTTATAGATTTTGTTTGTAAAAATATTTTTATGAGCAAGTGGGTAAAACGGTACGTTGTCATTTCTACTTTGTTCAGAAGCTTCGTTCAATAGCTTCGCTTCTTTCGTGTAAATTTACTTGAGTTACACAATAATCCAAGCCACTCATCTAAAACTATAAATACCGATTTCGATATTAATATTTAGAAGATCGTCCAATTACAATGACCGATCAAACGAATGATAACACATTGGAAACAAAGGCGGATGATTATGATAAATATAATTGTAGTTTAGCGGCTGAGCTCGATTATTTTGTTATGTGTTATTGTGAGTATTCTGAATTTACAATTAGTTCTTTTTAAGTAAACATGTCTCAACAGAGAATTAGCCTTAGGAGGTCAGGCAATTAATTACTATCGATATGGGGAACGAAAAGATTGCTCACAACGTTGGCAAAGTCTTAAATTTTGTATACAATTGAAATCAAAATCTGCAGAAGAACGAAAGGTATTTTATAATTGTTTTATAATCGATTAGATAAATATATTCTATTTTCGTTGCTTGTGATTTAAATAAATTTAATAAAATTGATTTAATTAAAAAATGTGAATGTGAATCGAAGAAAATGATTTTGGAAAAAGAAGCAATGAAAGATGCCAAGTATACTAAACAAAAAAGTTCATTGGATTTTTGGGAAATGAGAGAGTAGGTTTTCTTAAATTGTCATTTTATTTATGCACTCCACTCTCGTTATAACGACATCTATACCTTATTGGCATCCACTTACATCATTATAAGTCCCAATTTTCATTATGTAAAATAATTGATAACTTTTTAACTTTTCCATCCATGTTAATATCGTTATAACGAGAATAATATACTTTGGCGCAATGAAGTCTTAATGAATTTCGGTTGTTTTAAAAGAAAACCGCCATCAAAGATTTTTCCATTACATGATCAAACACCATTCGATCAGTTATGATTCGTCCGTTGAAGTGATTTTTAAAGGTGAAATGAAATTTCTCAAGTTTGTATCCATTTTGGTATACTATATATGCTATTATTATTTTCATTTTTCGGAAATTATAGCTATTTTATAACATTATAGTAATGGTTAAAATTGAATGTCGATAACCTTGATACGCACAACTAGTTAAAAAAACTTAATAAATCTGTTATAACTTTACGTAAGACTTTTTACAAAGAAAGTATCAGATGTGAGCTAAAACGTGGGTTAGCCAAATATTAGCACTTTTAATAGTAAATTTTTTATAATATATTATACAAGCGATCAACTTGTGAAACAAATATTCCTTCTAAATATATTTTACATGTAATTATGCCAAACGTCAGGTACACTCATTGTCAAGATTCGTAAATCAATATGCTATACATGAAATATTTAGGTTGAATGATAAAATGTAATGTGTGATTATTTTTCATTTTCATTTGAAGTAGATTCATCAAATTGTTCCTGTTTGAGTGTAAACATATTAAAGATATATCGATATTAAATAAAGTTTAAAACTTGGTTTTGTAGATGGAATATGATGTTACTAAATGTGTACCTCATTTGTAATAATTAATTGGACTGCTTCTACATTTTGATCTTCTTCTCCTTTCTATGCGATTTGAAAATTTTAATTACTCTATTTGAAATAATATTAATAATAAATATTTCCGAAAATGCTCCTTACTTGAGATGAATCTGTGTTTATTTCTTCCTGTTTTTTTTTTTTTTTTGGTTATGTAAAACATTATGATAATTAATTTGATTGTATGTATTAATATTTAACAATGAGTCTTTAGGGAATAAAGCAATCGAGATTTTTTTTCAGTGATAATGACAACTTTATAATATTATAAATGCAAGAAATCTCTATTACTCTTATTTCCCGACTGTACAGCTGTGTGTAGAAAAAAAATAATCACCTGTGATGAAACAGAATCCGTCTCCTCCTGTTTATATGTACACGTAGAAAGGTTAAATTTTGCACGTTGACTAAGAATTTATATCTGCTATATATGTATATTTTTGTTTACCTGAGAATCCGATTGTGGTGAGGATGTCGAAGGCTCAGATGGTGGTTGCGACGCGGATTTATTCACTCTTCTTTGTAATTTATCCAGTGAATAATAAGCTAATAAATTTCCATTTTTATCAGCTTTTTCATACCAACTAATTGCTTGATTATAATCTTTTGCTACACCAAAAGCTTTTTCATAACACCAAGCTAAGTAAAACATAGCAGTACAATTTCCTTTTTTTGCAGCATTTTTATAATGTAAAGCAGCTTTTGATTTATCTTTCTTTGTTCCAAAACCAGTTCTGTAACAAGCACCAAGACCATTTTCAGCATTCACACTTCCACTTTCGATAGCTTTTTGATACCACATAAAACTTAACTCTTCATTTTTTGAAGTTCCAAAACCATAATTATAACAATCAGCAAGTAAATCTTGAGCGATTGAATAGTCCATTTTTGAAGCAGTAAGAAATAAACTAAAAGATTTTCTAATATCTTCTTCAGTTCCAATAGCATCAAAATAAAAATAACCAAGTAATGTTATATATTGAGCAGTATTTTGATTATTTAATAACCAATCATAAATTTGAGATGGAAAACGTTTATTATCAATTATAAAATCGTTAATAAATCTAGATATAGTTTCATCTTGATTTCCTCGTTCTTTCATATCAACAAAATTTTCTATTAACTCATCAACTACTCTTCTAATTGCATCATTTTCATCACGACTAATTTGTGGCATTGGACTTTGACTTCTTAAATAATATGATTTTGGAGCAGGACTCGAACATCTAGATCTTGGAGAAGGACTTGGACATCTGGATCTTGGAGAAGGGCTTGGACATCTTGATAAACTTCTAGACGATCTTGGAACTTCAAGTGTTGTTGATGTTGCCATTACTTATATGATAATTTTTTTAGAAAGAATGTTAGGGGTTAGAAAAAATAATTTTTATAATATGCACGTTTGTTATTTTATTGATATTTATGTATATAGATAGATATAAGTTTATATTATTATTATTATTATTATTATTATTATTATTATTATTCATATATGATTTTTTTTTTCCTTTACAAATTTGGTTTTCTTTCTTTGCGATAAAAAGAAATTTTGAAAGAAAAGAAAAAAAAGAATGAGGTCTAAGCCGATTTATTTTTCTAGTTTTTTCATCGGTTTTCGCTATACTTTTAAGTAGTACACGTACATACATGTCAATGAAATAAACTAGTATTAGTTTATTTTGTTTATTATATAAAGTGAGATAATAATAGGTCATTTTACGTTATTGCAAATGAAAATGTATCAGATATGTACATTTTATAAATAGACCTGTACCTGTACTTGCCACGCGGTAACATTATTGGCGCAGTGTATCATTATTGTTGTTGCATGTGTAACAAACTCGCAAGGGCTATCTGAGCAAAAGTCACATGTAGAAAAACGTTTACATAACGCATGTAGTTTATGTATAATATTAGGTATATACATCACGTACGTACGTATATATATACAGTACATAAGTGTTTCCTTCATTTGCGTTAGAAACTTAACTGTCTCAAAGTTGCATTAAAATACATAAAGTTTTGGTTTTTTTTTGTAAATATTTGATTTGAAATTCAGTGTCAACCTAGTGTTACCTTACGGTACTAACCTAAGTTACTGATACCCGACGCGCATAATAATATTGATCAGAAATCACAGCCTTTTTTTAGTAATTTTATGATAACGTATAATACTTCATAAATGGGTTTATCCCAAATCTAGTTTATCCTAAATGTATGCTACATTAAAAATGAATATATATACGTATTCTTTATATACATGAATATCAGTCATTTATGTTACCTAACACACGGGGTTCGGGGTCTAATTATCAATCAAATATTCCCTTTTTCATATTTAGAACTTAGGTTCGTATTTGAAAACGAAGAATTATGATTCTTATGATGACAAATTATGATTCTTATGATTTTTATGATTTTTATGATTCTTATGATTCTTATGATTCTTATGATTTTTATGATTGATGATTTTTGACGGTTGACAAATATTTTTATTAATCAATTTTAATTAATAGATACAAAAACTCGTTAAATAAATCCCAACTCTTCGAATTTTTGAACCAATAAAAATTTATCAGTCCATTCATCTTTTTTTTTCCACATAATTTACACTAAATAATTTTTATCAACATTTGCATGAATGTGAATATACTGTATGTATAATAATAGAACTAATAATATTACTAATATCTAATCTCTGATAAGAAATGACAAAAATGATTGAAAGAAGTTATTCAAATTTTGTGCTTAAATATATTCTATAAAAATTTATGAGGATGAACGAACTTATCTATCGTAAAGAGTTATAAAAAAAATCATTAACTAATTATTGATATATGATATAATTACAGTCAAGTATCTTTAAAATTCTTACCGAAAATCTTTCATAGTTAATTAGTTGTTACCCAGAATTTTCAGTTTTTGCTAATAATTCGGCTAATGGTGCTTCTGCGTCACTATTACCGCATTCTTCAGCCTTCCTATACCAATAAATTGCTTGTTCTAAATCTTTTGATGTGCCCGTTCCTTGTTCATAACATTGTGCCAGCATAAACATCGCTGACCTATTTTCTTTTTTTGCCGATTTTCTATATAGTTGAAATGCTTTTGACATGCTCTTTACAGTACCAATTCCCGCTTCATAACAATATCCAAGACCAAATTGTCCATCTACACTTCCATTTTGTGATGCTTTTTGATACCACATAAAACTTAAATCTTCATTTTTAGTAGTTCCAAGTCCGAATCCATAACAATCTGCGACTAAATCTTGTGCTACGAAAAAATCCATTTTCGCTGCTGTAAGAAATAATGAAAATCCTTTTCTCTGTTCTACAGGAATTCCTATTCCTTGAAAATAAAAAAATCCAAGTAATGTAGTATATTGTACTGTATTTTGATTACTTGATAACCATGAAAATATTTGTATAGGTTCAATTTTTTTCAATGTCATTTCTTCTTCAATACAATCGCTTACTGCTGAAAAATTATATCCTTTTTCTCTTGTTCTTACAAACATTTGAGATATTGCGTCAACATATGGTCTTAAAGCATCATTTTCATCTCGATTATTACCAACAGAAGATGTTGGACTTGTACTTCTAACACTTTTACTGCTTCTTACGCTTTTTACGGAACTTGCCGCAGATCTTGGCCTTGGAAAATTATTGGGAAGATGAAGCGTTGAAGTCATTATTATTTAATTATTGTTATCTTGTTACGATTTTGGGGTTTTTTCTTTATTTTTCAATGGATGATTTAATAATTATCAAAATTATTTTTGTTATAATTTATTATTATGAGTGATTTATGTAGAAAAAAAAAAGTGATTTCTTTGATTTTTAAGACAAAGGGTTAAATGGTAATAAATAACCCGATGAAAAACTGCTGATATATTTATATTATTACGATTAGGGATTTTTTTTTTTTTTTTTTTTATTCAACTTAAATAATAAATAAATAATAATAATAATAAAAAAAAAAATTCTCAATTCCAAGTTTGCAACACAATTTTCGGTTCTTTCTTTATTTGGCTGTAAATATATATATCTTCATTAAAGTATTGGCTTATAATATTTTTTTGTTATATAATATTTCTTTTTGTGTAATATCTTCTAGAAATCTCTATTTGGCTGACCTGACGGATGCATAATTCCGTAACGTTAAATCATCAATTAAAATTTAAGTTTTATATCTGATATCGATATTTTATATAATAATCTCACCAATATATAGTAAAATATAGTGTGTACGTATATAGTAATATCGTAACAACGATAGATTTGTCACGTTAATTATTTGATCATCGGATAATCCTTGCGTAACTACCTATATAAAATAGCATTAAGCTGTGGATGGCTTATTATAATTATAGAGTTTCTTCGAACTTGGAAACCCTTGTCTACTACTTTCTTTTGACAAGTAATGTCCAAACGTCAGTATTCTGATCGGTCTTCTTCACCTGCAAGTACTGCAAGAAAAGTTGTTTGCCCACATATCGAAAGATATTTTAAGCATGGTTCGCCGGTAGCAAAGATTGAATCTTCCGCTTTCAAGGTATATATACATTAATTATTTCATAAAAGAATTCTCTTAATTTTATTATTAAAATTTTGTATTTTCTTTTGATCTCAGAAACAGCTTTCTAGTTCTACACTTTCTTGTGACTGGTGCGAGACCAGAATTCCAAGAGTATGGATTTGTCTGTATGTAAGTTATGAAATTCAAAATATATATTTTTTCCAGTGAACGTTTCACAAAAAATTGGCTTATTTATCAATCTAATGGACTTTTTATTACAGAGTCGATGTCGCACCGTTGTTTGTAGTAGTAATTCCAGGTCTCATATGCGTGAACATTTTGATATCACATATAAGGTAACTTTAACAATGGAAAATAAAATTAAAAGAAACAAGATTTAAAATAACTTGAATATTTAAATCTTACTTTAACCTAATAATAATAAATTCTTAATTTTAATACTCAGGAAAGTAAACCTGAGGCTAGTCATGCCGTATATATCAATCCACGTACTTTAACTATATGGTGTTATGGCTGTGGGATTGAAATAAATCCGTTTAGTAAGGATCAAGAATTATCTCAAGAAACACGAAATTATTTAAAAACTGTTGTGAGATCTCTGGTAACTTTTTATTTTATACATTATTATTATCTTTATTGTTTTTATTCTTATGAATTTTTTTTTGAAAATAAAGTTGAAATACTTTGTCAGTAGCAGGTCAAACGAATTAAATCACAACACTCAAATGATCAATTGCCAATTGATGTTCCTGGTAATTATCTTGTTATCTTGAATTCTTATAAATTTCTATACGTTATACGTTATTATAATTATTATATATATCTAAAAAATCTTTATAATTTTTAAGGTCTGGTTGGATTAAAAAATTTGGGAAATACTTGCTATGCGAGGTTCGTTATCAATGCTATGAAAATAATCCCTACTTTCAGTTCTTTTATTTATGCTAACGCCCATTCATCATCTTTTCATGCAGTGCTGCTCTCCAATGTTTGTCTAATACGTGAGTTTTTTTTTTTTTTTTTTTTTTATTCTATATTTTATCAATTATACCAATTATCATAAATTACTTTATATAGTCTATTTTAATGTTTCTTCTTTACTTGTTCTTAGTCCTGCAATAATAAATTATTTTAACTATTGCAATGCATATATTCCGCGAAACAACATTAATGTTAATCCAAGGCACCCCAAATATCGGTTGGCTGAACCTTTTAATCAATTCATAGAAGCTATGTGGAGTGGTACCAGGTTGTTTATTTTTATCTTATTTAATTAATTATGATTAGTGAAAAATAATATTAATGAAACGGTTCTTCATTTATTTCGTAGTCCAATTTTTGCTCCTATTAAGTTAATCAATGAGATCAAAAGGCATAATGAAGCCTTTCGAGGTTTTTCACAAGAGGTATATATGATTATCGTAAATTTATTCTTAATCTCCTTAACTTTCTTATTTCTTAATATTCAAGTGTTATTTGAATATAGGATTCTGCGGAATTTCTCCGTGTTATCTTGGATAGACTTCATGAAGAACTTCCGTACCCACAAAATACGTCGAACCATACGCAAATAAATGGCAACATCAACAATCTTGTATATATGAATAATTTTCCATCAGCAGGTGCTGGTGTTGATACTATGCATTATGCGTCTGGAATTTCTTCTCCAGCGTCTTCGGCATCTTCAACTACTACATCAAAAACTTATGAAAAGTTTCAGAGACGTCACTCTTCATCTCTTAGCATAATTAGTGACGTATTTCAAGGCGTTTATGAAAGCAAAATTAAATGCCTTCATTGTAAGAAGGTAGGTATCCTCCTATCTTGATTTTGAGTTAATATTTACAAGTATTATAATTATTGTACATATATTTAGGAATCTTCGAAGGATGATGACTTTTACGTTCTTCCGATTCAAGTTGATAAAAAATTTCGGCTTAAATCTCAAGAAAAAGGTTCAAATGGTGTTTTAAATAATGTAGTAGGTTCTATAGGTGATTGGTTAGGGTGAGTTTTTTAATCTTATCATAGTTTTATTAAATCGATTTAATATTTATTGGTACTTATTTTTATTTGGACATTATCAGCATTGGTGGACGAACAGTAAAACTACAGGACTGTCTTGCTGCATTCTGTGCCACAGAAAATCTTACTGGTGAAGATAAATACAGATGTGACGGATGCAAGTCCTTGACTGATTGTCAAAAAGTATTAAGAATAACGCGGCTGCCAGAGGTTATTTTCTTTTTTTGATTGGTTGCTTGTATAGCATTACAGTATTAAATACAGTATTAGTTAAATAACTATGTATTTTATATATAGTCGCTTTGTATACAAATTAAACGATTTCGTTTTGATTCTTATCTTTCAACTAAAATCGTAACAAATGTTCAATTTCCAATGGAGGATTTGGATATGAGCCCTTATTGTAAAGAATCAAGAGATTCTTTAGATAATTCAAAATATAGTTTATATGGATTGATTCATCATCGTGGTGTGATTGGAGGTGGGCTTAATAATTTACTTTCATGAATGGTGTAAATGCTTTATAATTAACAAATTAATTCATTCAAATTTGCATTGTTCCTTAAAGGTGGCCATTATGTTGCATATGCTAAAAATCCTATTGACGATAATTGGTATGAGTTTGATGATACGGTAAGATAATCATAATGTGTTATAAATTAAAAACGATCGTAAATCCTTGGTGTTAAAATGAATTATGTATGTTCTAGTATGTTACAAGAAAGACTGCGACCGAGGTATCTCGATTAGAAGCGTATGTATTATTCTATAGAAAAACAAATCTAGAAAAAGAAGAAGAAAGGCAAGAAATCCTTTCGAAAATAAGCGATGTACGTTATATTTTAATAGGAATTATTTTGATACACCATTCATTAAACTGATTTTATGTTCCATTTTATCATTAGTCTGAATCTGAGGCACACTTATTTGTTTCTCGACTATGGTTTAATAGATGGCAATTTATGATGACAGTAATTATTACCTGTTCCATTCTTATGTTGTTTAATATTGTATATTTAATTATATTATTCAATTTATTTATATACATATATATATTTTTAAGCCCGGTCCGATAACTAATAATGATTTCATTTGTTCACATGGAGGTAACAAAATTTTCAACAACTTCAATCTGTGTTAATATATGGTTAATATATTTACAATTGGATTTCAGGTGTTAATTGGAGAGTTTACCCTAAGCTTCACGATATGGTTGTAAGGATACCGTTCAGCGTTTATACCTTATTAATGGAAAAATATGGTACAGATGGAAGTCAACCTTTCCATGCAGATGATTATTCACGCGCCGGGTGCAAAATATGCGAGGTAATGTTGTGAAGACTATTTTAAGAATAATACGCGTAAATAATCTGCAAAGTAAATAAATAATAAATAATAATTTTCATTTTTTATAACAGCAAGAGGAAAGAAAGTTAGATCAAAGACGTCGTAAAGAAGCTCACGATATTAATCAAATAGATACAAATACAATAAGCCGTGGTGAATGTTGGTATTTAATAAGCAACTCTTGGCTTCAAAGTTGGCATAGCTTCAAGGACGGAGGTATTATTAAAAATTTTTTTTTGAATGTAAGGTAGATATGCCTAATTTGGCGCGGTGCCTAATTCGGCGCACTAACAACTGTCGATCAGAATCATGTGATTTTGGTACCATTTGATTCGCCTCATCGAGACGAATCGAATGGTACCAAAATCACACGATTCTGATTAATATATTATCATAAGTCTAATTGGTGCAGTGTCTAATTCGGCGCACTAACAATATCTTACGAACTGTTGATCAGAATCATGTGATTTTGGTACCGTCTCATCGAGACGAATCGAATGGTACCAAAATCATACGATTCTAACCGATAGTTCACAAAATATTATATTAGAAGTCTTTAATGCGCCGAATTAGGCACCGTGCTAAAATAAGACTGTGTTTTTAGATAAACTTTTAAAAAGTGATATCTCGTGATTGAGTGATCGAAATTAGGTGATTTTGGCGCCATTCGATTCGTCTCGATGTGACAAATCGAATGGTACCAAAATCATCTAATTCTGATCGACATGGCACGTGATATGCATCGTAGAACTTAACTGCGCCGAATTAGGCATATCTACCTTATACATTATTATTTTAAACAGTATCGGTTAAATCGTATCTATATTATTTAAATATATATTAGGACCGTTACCTGGTACAATTGATAACACAACTTTTCTTCGGGAGGATGGAAGGCCAAAACCTGGTATGAGAAGAGGTTAGTGTCTGTAATTTTATTAATTTTATTTGAGTTTGTAAATAAAATTTATTTTACATTAATTAATTTTGCAATGTTTATGTAGCAATTGATTATAGAGCTGTGAATGCTAGAGTTTGGAATTATTTTGTACATTCTTATGGAGGTGGCCCTATATGTATTCGAGGTAATTTATTATTTTTTCAATTATGTTATTTTAAATCCAGGGTTAACTTTTTTTATTTAAAATAATAGGTACAATTGATCTTTACTCTTCACCTTACTCGTTATGAAAATTAAGTTGGGAAAAAAAAAATTTTTTTCACCCTTTATGATTTAGAAGGTCCTATCAATTAGATAGAATTCTGAACAGTAAATACAGCTTTAATAAATAAAAATTGAATATTTTTTTATTTATTTATTTATTTACATATAAGAACATTAATTATAAGAGCAGTAATTATTTTAACCTGTTTGACGAAATTTTCAAATTAGAACTTTTTCTTATTTCGCGAGAAAATATTTTTTAAAAAAAATTTGGCAAAGTAAATTTTTTCAAAGTTATTTACATTATTGTGTTGTATTAGAAATAATGTATTATAAGTGGTTCATGATATGTATATAAAGCCTTTATTTAATGCTATGATACAATCATCAAATCACCATAAAATATATATATAAATACTTTTCTATAATATCATGAAATTGTGTTATAATGCATATGAAAAAAAATCTCATGCGTATAAACAAAATCGAGAAGAGCCTGCTTAACGAGAAAATAATCCATTAAATAAAATACATAAAATATATTATTGTTGTATTGATTAGTAGTTTTGAATAGAATGCTAAAATTATAATTATAACGTACATTTACAAAAAATAAGGCTCAAATTTGACCGATCATGTTTAATTCCTATAATATTTTTTTGAATATAAACTTAAATAATCTTAAATAAATTATCTAATAAATAGTTCGAATAATTTAAAAAAAAAGGCTATTAACAAAAGGACTACAAAAAAAAAAATCAAGAGTATTTTAAATCGATTGTCTTTATCAGTTTCCACCACCCTGTCTTCTGCCATATGGATTAGTTTCATCATATGAATCATCACGAGTAATTTTACGATCAGGATGTAGATTACGAATAATTTCTTCATTAGGTGTATATGCTGGGGGCGGTTCGTTAGGTTCAGGAGGACGATAAAGCGTATCAATTATTTCTTCTTCTTCCTCATCAAGTTCTTCCTCAAATTCTTCTTCCTCTTCTTCTTCTTCTTCGACATCCTCGACATCCCTCGGACGATCAGAAGGCAACTCCGGCAATACCCGTCGCGTTGGTGCTGGTGGAGGCTTAGTTCTTAAAGGTGGTAATGGTGGTGGTTGTGAATATTCATCTTCAATCTGGTCGACTACCCGGTTAGCGGATGTTTGTGAACCTTGGGAGGAAACTGACGTTTGCGAACTCCGAGAACGAACACTACTTGGTCTCTGACCATTTGATCGTGAATTTGGTCGTGAATTAGGACGTGGATTCTGTCGTGACGGATTCTGTCGTTGATTCTGTCGTTGATTTGGTCGTTGATTTGGTCGTAGACGTGTATGTTGATCGTCCATAAATAAATCGTCATCTTGATACGATTCATCCTGATATGATTCATCTTGATACGATTCGTCTTGGTACGATTCATCTTGGTACGATTCATCTTGAACGAAATCATCTTCATCTTGATATGATTCATCCTGATATGATTCATTCTGGTATGATTGTCTCCGCCGATTACGAGTATTTAATGGTGGACTTTGTTGCGAAACTGGTCGTTGATGAACATTCGCTGAATTTGTTCGTTGATGAACATTTGTTGGACTTGTTCGTTGACCATTTAATGACGAAATCCGTGGTTGAATATTCAATGATGCAATCTGTTGTTGAATGCTTAGTGGAGTGGTTTGCTGCTGAATATTTGTAATCGGCGTTGACTGTTGAATATTTGTAATCGGAGTTTGCTGCTGAATATTTGTAATCGGCGTTGACTGTTGAATATTTGTAATCGGAGTTTGCTGCTGAATATTTGCAGTCGGTGTTGGCTGCTGATGAGCATTCAATGTCGCAGTCTGTTGATGAACATTCGTCTGTTGATGAACGTTTAATGGTGAAGTCTGTTGATGAACATTTAATGGTGAAGTCTGTTGATGAACATTTAATGACGAGGTCTGTTGATGAACATTCATTGGTATGGTTTGTTGTTGAATGCCTCCTGGTGTGGCTTGATAAATATTTGTCGGTTGTTGTTGAATACCTATTTGTGTTGGAATACCATTCGATGCAATGGTTGCCGGAAACGAATTATAGTTTTGCGGCATTCTACTAGCCACTGTTAATAAGTCAGTGATTTTGAGTAAGAAAACAGTAATGCCTTTGCTTATAAAATATATATTCTCTATATACTTCACTAACCTGTGGCCTTGTCCTTACAAGTTTTCCCACAGTAACGCGAATATGCTCCAGTATTTTGATCTCTCCAACAAGGTTTTTGCCTACATTGAGCGCATATAGGAACCGTATAATTTCTTTTATTTGCAGATGGCATTATTTGAATTTGTTGATTCATTGGATATTGCTGATTAATTGTACCAATTGGCTGTCTGGCCATTTGTGGAGGTACACCTATAATTCGATTATTCTGTATAGTAGACACGGGAGAAGATACAACTACTGGTCGGTAAGTCGGCCCTACAGAAGCAACTGGATATTGGTTCTGTGTCCTCGATCCGTATGTTGCTTTAGCCTGACAATTTTTTCCACAGTAAGGTGATCTTGAACCATTTTGTAACCTAACCTTTGGATATATACCACATACAATACAAGCTTCAACATGACCTATAAACATAGAAAAATATTAATTTTCTTATATGTTAAGAATGTAAGAGTAACGATCCCGAGTTTTAGTTCAATTTACGTCTGTCTACCGCAGCTTTTCGACATTGGTGAGAACAAAATTCAGTAGGATGCCCATTTTCAATATAAACTTCTTTTATTCTACATTCAGCACAGAGATATGCCATTGTTTAACTTGAGAGAGTAGTCACACATTCATTTTCTAAAAAGTTTTGTGCTTACGTACGTTTACCATCAAATCAAAGCGTGATATGACTTTAAATATATATTAGTTAAAATTTGCGGACCCTATGATCCGATATTGAATCATTCGTGTAACAACTAGCTGCAATATCAATTAACATTTACTATATATAACGTTTGACGTGACGTATGTGACGTGACGTTTACTATGTTTATAATAAATTTTATACGTATGGCGCAAGGAGTGACGTACTACCTTGGACCTCTAAATGTTTGCAGCTCTAGTAACAACAGAATTATTATATATAGAATAGAAAATAAATGGTCTCGCACTTAACTTATAACTTATGTAAACGTTGCAATTTTCATAATTTATCGATATCAGATATTAATAATGTAGCAATTAAGCATCACGCAGTGATAAGGCGCATCTCTACGTAAGAGCCATATATTAAAGCATATCGATATACCGATTAGCATGCCAGTTTATGTGGCGCAGATATTCATATGATTTTTCGTGCATTTAAGTGAAAAAGCTTGCTGAGACCCAAATTAAAGTTTATCTCGGAGAAAGTCCAGATGTAGGAAGTATCAGTTCCTGCATGCTAAAAATTTGGCATGTCATATGTCGTATTAAGCCATTAACCAAAATTCATGCCATACTATGGCGATAGACATGTCCTTTGTAACTTTATAAAGCAATATTAATTTTATAAATTTGCCAACATTTTTTAAAAAACCTGTATAAAAAGTTGACGCGTTTTAAAGATTACTACGTATTGTTTTATATATAATTACTACAAATTTTAAATAAATTTTTAAAAATGCTATTTTTTATATAAAAGCAAAATTTTAAAAAAACTGATCGGTAAATTTTTCTTTATATAAGCTCAATAAAATTCCAAGTAATTTTGCCAAGTAATTGTTAAAAATATTGTTTCTATAAAAAGTTGATGCATTTTAAGTTATACTATTCTTTATTGTCTAGTATAGACTTCTAGCACCAAATAAGTACATCGATTGAGCTTTGATAAACAAACACAAAAATAAAAAATTGAAAAGTATGGTATGTCATTTTGCTTAAAACTAGTTAGCTTGACGATGATTTTCTGGGTGACAAAATACCAATTCAGTCCGTGATAAAAGATGATTCTGCAAAAATTCTGCGATTGGTCAGAATTACATAAAGTCGGTCAGCATTATAATCTGCAAATTCTGGCCAAATTAATGTCAGCCAGCATTATGATGTTAAAGTGACTTACATGTAGGGTTGAAAATTACATAAATTACACCGTAACTTGCAAAATTGTAATGTAATATGTAAAATATGCTATGCGATAAAATTATGCTATCACAGATCCGCGCTAGCCCTACGTATACATGATCACTATTAATCATGTGTGCACGATTTCTAAATATTTTAGACCTTTCATTAATTGACGTGTTAGAATATATAACAATGTAAGTTCTTCACATTCAGTAGAATAGAGGTGAATAATATACGGGACTCAAATTTCCGTCAAAATGTGCATGAGTTATAAAAAGGCAGCAGTTATGAAGCTATAGCTAATAATTTAATCTTATGGTTTAAATTTAGCATTTGATTAAGTTAATTTTATCTATATATAGTATGTTTGCTGCAAATACGTATGAAGTGCGACTTTTTTATAGCGCAACTAGGGATGTAACTTATCGTCGCAATAGAATGTTACATCAGCAATATAATATTTATGACCTATGTACGTACTATTTATTTCCCGCAACGGCGGGAATAAGAGGTACATCCCCGGTCATCTGTGGGCCCGAAGGGCCCACAGTAGGGTGGAGATCTACCGGGTTATTTCCCCGTAGCGGCGAAATAAGGGTATTATTCT